GTAACTGGGCCAGCAGCCCCTCTGGGGTGGGGCAGAAACATTTTACTGTACAAAGTGGGATCATTGACAACATTTGGGATTTTTAAAATAACTTCATTTTAAATTCTTGCAAACTTGGACATACCATTCCCCCTATCTTCCATTTCTCCCTTCAAGGAGGAAAAAAATCAGGATACCCTTGGGTTAGAAAGACCTCAGAAACCATCTAGCTGTTCCCAGGAGATCAGAGCCCACAGTGTCCTTGGCTCAGTGCCAGGAGTTTGGGGGCCACCTTCCTAACCTTCCAGGGAACTTCAAGACTAGAAAGAGAAAACCCAGCTATTCTGAGAGGTCTGTTCTGGGGTGCTTGATGAGGTTTTATTTTAAAACAACAGAAAGTTTTCCAGTGTTAATCCATTTTTTGCAAATACTTTCTCCCACCCTCTTTGGTTTCATAAAGGTGGGTGAAAGCTGTTCTAGATTATGTCATATGTGTTTGGAAAATGCCAAAATAATAATAATGATAATAATAGGAAACATTTGTCAGGTGCTTCATAGATTTCAAAGCACTTCACAGCCTTTAATTTACAGGTCCAGAGAGAGACAGGGTCAGTTATTCTACCCATTTGACAAATGAGAATACAGGTTAGGGTTTAGTTTCATGAGTTTTTTTTTTCTTTTCTTTTCTTTTTAGTTTGTGGATTCACTCCAAAGAGTGCTTAATTTCTAATGATCTAATGAAGTAAAAATGCTTTTAGGGCTTTAGCTTAGTGTACCTACAAACAAATGGTAGAATACTGTGGTGGTAGTCCTTTTTGTTTAAAGAAATTAAATGAGACTTATTATGGATACTTACATATCTGCAAAGCCTTTTAGGTTTATATTTTTCATCTCATAATTGTCTCATGTTAATAAGTACCTCTGTGAAACAAGTTTTGTTTTTATTTTTTTATTTTTTGTACTGGAGATTGAACTTAAACTCAGGGAAACTCAATTACTGAGTTATAGTTATTGCACCCCAACCCCTTTTTTTGTATTTTATTTAATGATAGGGTCTCACTGAGTTGCTCAGTTCTTTGCCACTACTGAGGATGACTTTGAACTCGTTATCCTCCCAAGCCACTGGCACTACAGGCATATGCCACCATGCCCAGCTATGTAAGATATTATAAATCAGTATGTTCATGACTGTGTTTACAAGTTTATGTATTATTCAAAGATGTATAGCTTTCCATTTCTAATGAAATTTCACTTTTTATTGAAGATGGAAAGATAGTACTGCATTACTCCTGCCCATATGGTTGTCAGGCAAAAGTCAGATGGCATCAGATAGGTTCTGCAGCACCAGAGGTGCTTTTTAGCCCAGAACATGTTGGGAACCACTCTGGACAGTACACACCTTTAAGCTCTGAGTAAAGGGTACTGAACAGTTTTTGCACCCCACAATACATTGAACTTTTATCCCCACTCAGGTAATAAGGGCTTTCTACAGTTTTGGGCATCACCTAGTGGAGTTGAGTTACACTCTCCTGTTCCTTAGTAATCCTACACCTTTGCTCTTTTGGGGATAGACTGTTCCATGGAACCTTCCTTTGTGTGTCCCCTATATAAGAATAAATCATTCCAGTGGCTCTCTCTCTCTCTCTCTCTCTTTCCATGGATACCCAAGGCTGGAGAGCCATTTTGGAGTCTGAAAAGGTACTTCTGTGTTTATGTGCTTCTTTCACCATTTTTTAGTTTTTGAAATAATCAGAGTTGTGAAACCAACATATGTCAACACCTCTGTTGGATAGAAATAAGAACATGTATTTGGAAGCCTCCTAAATATTGAAACATTCCATCAGGTTTAAACTTCCTCAGTCAGTTCCCAGACACAACAGAAGTGAGAGATTTTTGTCCAGAAAGAGGAACCTCTTCCCCCCTCACACTACTTGTTAGAAATGTCTCATGTTGACCTTTTGGGTTTATAGATAATTTTCTTTCTTTTTCAATTTCAAGAGAAACAGTAAGTCTTATTCTCCAACTTAAAATATTAGTTAAATAGCCGATTAAAAGTCTTAGCGGCTATTATATATTGAGGACCTCTTGAAACATATTTTATTTTCCACATTGGCTTCTGAGGCAAGTATAATTAGTTTCCCTCAAACCCTCAGAACTGCAGATTAGAGCTTCTGACTTACCCAAGGGCACAACTAATGAGCTAGGATTCCAACCCAGGCCTACACATCATGCTCTCTTCTGCTTCAGCCTAATTCTTTTATTTTTTCTTGGTGTAGAACATTTATTTAATTTTTTTCCATGAAACACTCAAAGTTCAGATCAGTGGGAAATAATTTTAGTCAAAGAATTGTACATTTTCTTCCCACATATCTTGCTTTATATTAGGAAATGACATTGTGATCCATTTCACTACGAGTAAAATTATTACAAAATATTTACAGGAAAATATTAAAAATAACTCAAACACAAAAGGCAAGATGAAATAAACTGGGTTTTCAGAAATCTCTACTCAAGTGCCCACAGCACACAAGAAGAGAGTAAAAACAAATAAGTAACTAAGACTCCCCTGATCACAAATTTCCAAAGAACTGGAGAAGGGGAAGAAACTGGATGAAGATGGTAGTGTGAAAGGAAATGGATGTTCACAGCACTGCTGCAATAGCCAATCTATTCTGAGTGAAATACCCTCTTATGTGCAGTAAATTCTGAACAAGGCTGTATTTTAGGATTTTCCCTGAACTTAAATTAGAAAATACCCTGACAGTGGAAGTAGCTCTTTCACCTAAGTTTAATAAGAGCCTCTTGCTCCACGAACCACTGTAGTGAACAGAAGCCTGTTCTGACATCAAAAGCTGTCACAGCAGCCCTTCCATTTCTTTCATGAAAGCTTCATAAACATCATCCTTAGTTTGTACTGAAACAGGGACAGAAGGACCAGATTTGGGGGCTGCTTTGGCAAGAGGCACAGCAGAATCATCCTCTGACTTTCTTTGGGGAGTAGCAGTAGCCCCTTTATTCTCCCGACGAACCCTCAGTGCAGTGGGCACAAATCGAGTAATCTCTGCCTTAGGATTAGTGATCTGTGGCTTGGCACTGATGGTTGCTGTGGCTTTCTTCTCAATGGTGGCTGCACTTGTATCATCCGCCTTGGGTCGCTGAATCAAGTTGGGTGGGGCACTCAACACCCCTGGATTCGGCAAGGGAGCCGGTGGGAAAAGCCCAGGTGGGGCAGGTCCAAGTGGAGGCACCAAAGGTGGGCGCATCATGCCAGGGCGAGGTGGAGGGATGCCTAAAACAACAAAACAAAACAGGCAGGATGAACACAAGAACCAATATAATTTAAATGCTATTAAGGATGACTAAACACAGGTGGATTCAATTTTTTTTGAAACAGATAACAATTTACTGAAAATAAGCTCAACTGTTATTTGAAAGTTAGGAATATATTCTGATAGTAAGGAATAAAACAACTTTCACTTTCTTGTGCCCCTGTACTTATAGTTTTCCTAATTAATGATCTACTTGAAAATATTGAGCAAAATTGATTATACCAACTGGTTCCAAAGTCTACTTCAAATCTGATGGCCCAGATGCTATTCTGGCTATATGGTGCAGATGGCCAAGGTCAGGGGCTGCTGTTCCTTGCATTATTTACTTAAAAGGCAACTTAAGGGGTTGGGGATGTGGCTCAAGCGGTAGCG